TACTAATTGAAATAGTTCGTAGATCACCCCCACAAAAAAAAAATCCAAGCCTACAAACTCCAAGACATGTACTGGTTGAATTTAAAGTTTTAATTCAGAAATAACCAGCTCTGCAAGCAACTAGGAGAAAGATCTTGAAATACAAAGGGACAGAAATTTGAATAAGACAATACTATTCTGCATCTATCAGAAAATGCAGGAGGGTATGCAATGTGTTCTGAAGAGCAGCTGAGCTCTGGATGCAGCCCAAGGTGACCTATCCTGAAAATCTGAGCTTAAACATAAATTAAAAAAAAAAGATATTCAATAAAAGAGCCATTTGAAACATTCTTAGACCTGAAGAGATTATTTGCTTCTTGAACATACCAGAAAACAGAAATACAGTGGAAAAAATGCAACAGCCAAGGGCCACAACAGCAAAAGAGTAAGGGCAGAGAGACCAGCAAGAGACTTGTTTTTAAATATGCACAAGGAGCAGAGGTGAAAACAGAAGTCAGGGGGAAGCAAGAGTGAAGAGGCAGGTCATGGACAGAACCTCATAACATCCTGCCTACAGACAAATCAATGTTTTTCATGGGATTGCATTACAAAGTGGAAGTGTGCATGAAAGGGAGGAGGGTGATAGAGGGAAGTATGTGATGTGCCCAGGTTAAATCGAAGGCTATCAATGACGGAAAAGTGATCTTTGTCATCTCAGGAAGAGAAGAGTCTGGAAAGGAGTGGATGAAGAGGGGGAAAAGATAGAAAAGGAGGGTGGTGGGACCTTGCTTTGGTAGGTAGAGGAGGTTTCACTGATGAGTGCTCTAATGGGTGAAAAGAGGTATTCTGTGAAAAGAGATTGGGGATCTTGTGTTGGGTATTGTCTGAAGGATTCGTTATTTGAAAAGACTCATCTTCTCTCAGAAGGGGGAGAACTGGAACTCCTGGGGTCAACTGGCACCTGGGGGTGGGGGAGGACTTGGATCCACAGAGATCCAGGCAAATAGTGAAAGAAGGTAACCAGAAGGAGGTTGGAGATCAGTGGTAGGTTGCATAATCAGGGATTTGAGGAAGAGGGTCCTGACATAGGGCACTGTCTTCTCTGTCGCCAGCAAGAATAGGAATTGTTCTAGGCATGAGGCACAATAGAAAAGGGGAATCCATGAGGCAAGCTCTACAAGGCAGTGGTATAAATTACCACTAGAGGGCAGAGCCCAGAATGAATACCTCAAAAGTTTTGATTGCATAAGGAATACAGAGTCTAGAGAGTGGCTGGATAATTAAAGAGGTCATGAACCAGAGAAGGAGGGACTAGAGGAAACAGAAAGAGATGATAAATGATGAAGAGATGTAAGAGGAACCCCCTCTGGAAAGGGACACCAAAAAAATGAAATTTAAAAAAACAACAACTAATGAATAAGACTAGTTGAAGTTAAAGGCGGGGGGAGGGAGGAAGGGGATTTATTTACCTAAAAGGAAAAAGAGTGGAAGAATTAAAGAAATGTATTAATAAAACTCTAAAAAAAGAAAGGAGTAACAAAGAGGAGGGGGCACCAGGGATAAGGAGAGAGATAGTGGGAATAGGATCACCTTAAAAAAGAATAAGATAAAACAATAAAAGAGACATAATACTGTAACTACAGCAGGGGGAGGGGATAAGAATAACTTTAAAGATGAATGGATTAAACAATCCAATGAAATGAGAAAGTGACAGATTGGATAAGAAAAATAGAACCATGTTGCTTACAAAACACTCATATAAAAAAAAAAAAAAGACATACCCAAAATAAAATTGAGGGGATGGAAAAATAATTTACTACACATCAAGTGAATAAAAAAAAAATCAGTAGTTGCAATCATGCTGACAAAACAAAAACAAATAATATTTTTTAAAAAGGATAAACAAAGAAACTATATAATGTTGAAAGGAGTCATAGACAGGAAACCAATATCAGGAAGAAATAGATAGTAACGCAAAAATGCTGGGAGGCTTCAACATCCGTCTCAGTTTTGGATATACCTAACAGAAAGATAAACAGAAGAAAAAAAATATAGAACTGAATAAGTTGCTGGGGAAACTAGAGGTCAAAGACTTATGACATCTAAATGGGGCTGCAAAAGTATATATACATATATTTCTCAGCACTACATGGAGCTTTTGCAAAAATTGACCATTTAGTAAGGCACAGAGATATTTTAAACAAATGTAAAAAGGCAGAAATGTAAATACTTATCTTTTACAGAGCATCACGTAATAAAAATTGTCATATGGGTTCAGGGAACACATGGAGACTTAACAATGAAATCCTAAATAATGAATGATTCAAAGAACAAATCATAATTATTTGAAGGAAAATGATAACGATGAAACAGCATATAAAAATTTCTGGGATGCAGCCAAAGCGGTCTCCAGGGGAAAAATTATGTCCCTATAAGCATACATTAACAAAATGGAAAAGGAGAGGATTAATGTACTGAATATTCATTTTAAAATATTAGAAAGCCAACAAATAAACCTAAAATAAAAGGAGATATTAAAAATTATATAAAAATAGATAAATTGGAAACAAAAACCTATAAAGTGATAAATAAAATTAAAGGCTGGTTCTTTGAAAAGACTAATAAAATCAACAAATCTTTTAGCTAATTTGATTAAAAGGAAGAGGGCAAGTGAACAAAGATGATATCACAACAAAAGAAATAGAGAGAAGGAAGAGAAGAAATAGAATAATCAGATGCTATTATGCACAGTTATATGCAAATAAAACTGAGAACACAAAAGAAATAGGGAGATACTGTCTAAAGGAGAAAATTCCCAAACTACTACATCAGAGAGAGATCTCAAATAACCCAATCTCAGAAAAGGAAAGGGACTACTAAAAAAAATGAACTCCTGGTCCTGATAGAGTCACAGGACAATTCTATCAAATTTTTAAAGAAAAATTAGTACTCATACTTCACAAATTATCCTAAAAAAGTTTTAAGAAAGAAAGCACCCTACTAGAATCCTTTTGAAACAAATACAGTCCTGATACATAAACATCAGGGAAAGATATAACACAGAAGGAAAACTATAGGTCAATATCATTGATGAATATTAATTCAAAAATTTTAATCAAATTCTGTCAGACTACAGCAATTTATCCAAGAAATCATTCATTATAGCCCACTGTGATATATACTGGGAATGCAAGGATGACTCAATATTAAGAAAGCAACATAATTAAGCATATTAAAAACCAAACCATCCAAAAACACATGATTATGTCAATAGATACAGAAAAGGCCTTTAATAGAGGATAGCGTTCTTTTATGATAAGAACCCTACACAATATAGATATAAAGGGTCCTTTTTAAAAAAAATAAAAAGATCTATCTAAAACCAAGTGTTAGCATTACATGCAATGGGAATACACTACAATCTTTTCCTAAAAAAATGAGAGTGCAGCAACCCCCCACTATTATTTTATATTGTTCTGGAAATGCTAGCTATAGCAACAATAAAGAAATTAAAATCATAAAGACAGGAAAGGAAGGGATAAAATTATCTCTATTTGCTGATGATATGATGGTATACTTGGAAAATCCTAGGGAATCAGCTAAGATACTAATTGAGACAATTAATAGCCTCGACAAAGTTGCAGGCTGCAAAATAAATCTTCCAAAATCAACAGCCTTTCTATATAACACTAGCAAAACACAAAAAAAGAAGAATGGAAAGAAAAATTTCATTCCAAATAACTAAAAAAATGTGTAAAATACCTGGGGATCAACCTCACAAAGTACACACAAGACTTGTACAAAGAAATGCTTTCTGATCTCATCTTTTTACAATTTGAATCTGAGCTCTTTAAATCTCAGTGATCTTCAGTTATGTTGATAGAATTCTGGTCTGGCTTTGAGCCAAGCATTGTGTTAATCAGTCAGATACAAACATAACAAAGTAAGACATTCCCTGCTTTCAACTAGCTTACATTTTGATGGGGAAGACAACAAAAATAGTAGTTAGAAAGTGTTATGGAGGCAAGGAAAATGCCAGGTCTTTTGACATCCAGCCCAATATTATTTCTATTATAAACACAACTAACAATATTTTTGCTTGTGTTTCTAGACTAATTCGCATATGGATGTGATCTGTAATCTTAAGAGGGCTTCATAAGGCATAGAACTTGGTATTAGGAGAGAGCTCTCATTTCATTCCTAAGCTCTGAATTTAACTAGATGTGTAGCCCTGGACAAATAGTTTCATTTCTCAGGGCCTCCATTCCCTCATCCATTAAAGGAAAATAATGATACCTATCCTATTCAATTCATGAGGTTATTCTAAGCAAAATACTTTCTAAACCTTAAAGTGCTACAAAAATGTAAACTAGTATCATTCATATATTGCTAAATTTAGTGTTGTTATATGTTGTTCAGTCATTTTGATTGTCTTTGTGACCCCATTTGGGCTTTTCTTGGCAAAGATACTGGAGTGGTTTGCCATTTCCTTCTCCAGTTCATTTTACAGATGAAGAAACTGAGGCAAATAAGGTTAAGTGACTGGTGCAGGGTCACACAGCTAATAAGTGCTTGAAGTCACATTTGAACTCAGGTCCTCTGGACTCCAGGGCCACTGCTCTATCCATTGAATCGCCTATGGCCATGCTATATTTAAAATACCCCAACAAAGGAGAAGATCCCACAACATTCTCCCTCCTTGTGGGATCCAAATTCATTTTAGGTCAGACAACATGCTAAGGTTGGAGTTTGGTGATACTACATGAGATCACCACTGCCATCACTACCACCATCCCTACCCACCCATCATCACCACCATTGAGAGAGAGGCAATGTGGTATAGCAACTCCCTTGTATATTAAGTCCCCATGCTGATCATAAATCACTGGTGTTTTTAATAGTTGAGTAATACCAATAATAATTGATGTGTACTTCAAGTTTAGAAAGCACTCTGTGATTTGCAGAACACTTCACATATGTCAATGAGATACATTTCCAGATCTTTTTCTTCTCTACCTCAGGAAACTACCTGGCAGAACCGTCTATGCCCAGATGCACAATGAAAAGGAACAAGAGATGACCAGCCCAGTCAACCACAGCGAGGATACACAGAACATCATCCAGGGTGAGGAGTTTATAGATGATGATGTGGATTCCCAAACCCTAGGTAACACCAGAGGTAACTTCACCTTCCTTTATTCACCTTTCGCTGAGTACAAAATAATTTTTCCCTTTAAAAACTCTTTGGGGGTGGGGGAACCAAGCGCCCTTTCCCACATTTAACCTTTCCTCAATTTTTTACTCAGCTGGTAGAGGTTGATATCAATGGAACATGTTGACCCTTGACCATTTTTGCTAGGGGAAGGGAGAAGATATCAGTTTCATGACTTAGACACCTGATAACACCCCACACATGGGAAGTGAAGAAAGTCACATGACCATAGCAGGACTATGAGAGGGAGACAAAAGCATATCTGCCAGCAGAGAATCTTGTTGCTGCTTTGGCGAGTAGGCAAATTTTAAGGATCTCAGGATTTCGACATGGAAGGAACCTTAGAAATCAGCTGACCCAGCCTGCCCATTTTACAGATAATAAAACCAAGGATTGTAGAGTGGGGAATGTCTTGCCCTATGGATTAAAAAAATAGCAGAACCAGGTCTTCTCCCTCAAAATCCAGGGCTCTTTCTACTACACAGCATCACATCATAAAAGGTGTTCAAGCGAAGGCTGGTGAACCAGTGGTTATCCATCATTCAATGAGCCTCTGCCCCCAAGGAACTTCCATTCTATCAGATTTCCTGCTCAGGGAGCAATCAAACTAGACATCTGAAATACCTTGCAATTCTAACCTTTTGTGTTTCTACTAACATCAGAATTTCCTACATTTCTGCCAAATGTATAGACAGAGAAATTTCCTGAAATGCACCCGTGCAGAAGACCTAAAACCTCAACAACAGTAAATCAGTTTCCATTTCAAATGCATTTTACACACCTTATTTCACTGGAGCTTCATGGCAGCCCTGTGAGAAAGAGCAAGCATTATTCCAGTTTATAATGAGAAAATTAAGGCCCCAAATGAAGATGAAGAAATAGCCTCATTTAACAGATAAGAAAATTGAGGCTCAATACAGTTAAATGACTCACCCCAAGAAGGTCACACAGCTAGTAACAAGGGAAATGGTGACTGGAATTTAGGTTTCTGATTCCCATCCAGTGCCCTTTCCATTATGCCAAACTCATTTCTTGAACGATGACAACAACAAAGTAGATACCAATTATCTGGTTCTTCCTGGCAAACTTCCTAAAAAGACCATAAATCATAAATCTGAAGATTCAGAAAAGAAGAGAAGCCTCACAAATTTATCAATTCTGATCCACTCACTTTATAGATGAAGAGGCTGATGCTCACAAGTCCTGATGAAAATTCCATTTACCCTACAAGTGGGAGATGGGCTATTTCCTCCAGTTCTTTTTCCTGTGTCTCATCCTTCCTCCACCCTCTCTGGCTGACCCATATCTAAAGAATTCCAGGTTAAATTCTGTCCAGTTCATTATATGGAAATTAATTCATTTAAATGCTGGTCCCAAGGACCATTTGTTGATTTCCCCAGCAAATGGCCCTTAAGGATTCATTTTTCCCTTTAAGCATCCATGCATAGGATATGACCATTCTGTGGGCAAGGACATCTGGTCAGCAGGGTGTAGAGGGAAGAACATTGGGCTGGGAGTCAGAAGGTTTGGATTTGATCCTAGATTCTGCCATTTACTGGCTATGTGACCTTGGATAAGTCACTGAATCTGAGTTTCAGATTCCTCACCCAAAATCAGGGGATACAATATTTGTATCACCTACTTCACAAGGTTGTGATGAGAAAAATACTTTATAAGCTTTGAAACTCTATATGAAGGTCAGGTATTATTCTAATGGCCCTACCAGCTATAGCAGTCTGTGCAGTCTAGGGTGTCTCCCAGTCCCAACATTTTTTGCTCTAATGTAATATTGTATATATAATATATATGTTGTATATTATATAATGTACTGTAATGCCTTCTATAACTGAGGTTCTTAACCATTTTTGGTGTCATGGGCCCCTTTAGTAGTCTGTTGAAACCTATGAATCCCTTCTGAGAAGTTTTTCAAAAGCATAATGTACATAGAATTTCAAAGGAACCAATTATATTAAAATAAAGATATCATTTTGTTTTCATCTAAGTTCACGGACCCCATGAAATCTAAGCCCAAGTCTGTGGATGCCAGGTTAAAACCAGACCAAACAAAACACATATTCTATTTTCTTTATTCTAAAACTTCATGTTCTGAGGTCCCTTCTAGCCCTCCTCCAGGTCATAGGGTATCAAGGCTGGAAGGGACATTCGAGATCCAGTCTAATTCCCTTACTTTACAGAGAAAGAAACTGAAGGCCTATAGAGGAAAAGAACCAGTTCAAGGTCACAAAGTGACTTAATAGCCAAGCAAGGACTTGAATTCTGACTTCTGGCTCCCAGAGAAATGCAAGCTTCCTTCCCCTGTCCAGTGTAGTTCCCACATATTGGGTCTGGAAGAAATTGACAAAGAGGATTTAACTCCTAATTAATTGCCCAGTTCTACCAATACTGACCAATGGAACATGCTTGGGGCCCCACAAGAGCCTGTTTCTAAGAGCTTTCCTAAAACAGTCTAATATTTAGTGCTCAAAGGATTTCGACACAGTCCATGACAAAGCAGGGGTCAAAGGACAGCCGTCCCACCTCATTTTTGATACTCTGAGTTGCAGTAGCCACTACAACTGTTCCGAAGTCCATCTGGCCTCTAGGATCTCACCTCCTTTTTTCACTCCCTTTCTTTCTTGGTTGTTATGATCTGGAGCATCTCTGTACACTCCATTCTTTGTATATGGGAAGACAGGTTCTTGAGTCTGGAGCTAGGAAGAAAAAAGGAACCGGTGGGGTTCCTGATACAATGTTGGCTTATGTAAGGTGGTGAACTAACACAGGTCTCTGCCAAGAAAATTCCTACTACTGAAAGAATTAGAAAGAATCACAGACCTTAGAACTGAAAGGGCCCTCAAGACAAGTGCTACCCCAGAATGGAGTTAGCTTGAAGATCTCTAAGGAGAGTTCAATTCCTCTACCATGTAGTAGGGTAGATTAAATGGGGGCTGAGGTCTCTTCCAGCTCTGAATTCTGTGAATTCTACAAAGCCATCTGATCCTGCCTTCAAGCGATAAAGGCATTAGTATTCTCTTTTTACAGATGAAACAGCTGAGGCTCCAAGTTCAGTGCCACGTCCAAGACCACACAGACGGTGGGAGAGGGGGGACAATCACCCACACACCCAAACTCCTAGTCGTTATTTTCCTCTAGAACTTAAATTTTTTAGATCATAAAGAACTTAAATTCTTCAGATCATGGAATTTTAGAGCTGGGAGGGACAGTCAAGATCCTAATCCACCTTCCTGATTTTACAAAATTCGCCCCTGCTAGAAAATGGCAGACTCGTTCGACAAGTTTTCTATTGTTCTCTTTCCTCTTGTAACTTTGGACTCTTCACAGCGCCAGTCTTCCAGATTCACCCAGACATTTATTCTATTTTCTATATATGTTATGTTGCCTCCTTTCTCGCCACCCCCCACCTTGGGACCTCTCCACGCCCTTGCCTTGCAGTGACCTCTTCTGAGAGAGGGGGAAGCTTGAGCAGCCACCGAATCCCCTTATTGCCGATGCCAGTCACTGCCCAGTCACAGGTCAGTGGCATGTTGGACGGAGGCTTCCCGTCCCGCTCTTCCCCTTCACCTTCTCCTTTTAAGAGACTATCACACCTTGAAAGGCACCAAGAGCCATCTTAGGCAGTCACCAGAATAGGAACATTAGGGACCCACCACAGATTCACTACAATCTTTAAGAACCCTCCCCCCCAAGCCCAAGCACACAGTAGGTACAACCACGTAGCCACTCCACATTCACCTGAGCTTGTTTGCTAGTGCCATTTTTTGTATGCGTCACCCCTTGGGTTGGCCCTGCTGAAATGAGCATGCTAACCCACATATCTGTGCCATATTTTGTGTCTTCCTAGGTAATCACTCAGGCGTGGTTCTGAGCATCAATTCTCGAGAGATGCACAGCTACCTGGTTAGCTGATGTTTGCAGCTGGACATAAACATGGAAGACTCTTCTCTGTCTTGTTTCATTTTCCCCTTCCTCCCTCCATCCCCGCCCTGGGGAGGTCACAGAATGGCAAGCATGGCTATAACTGATGTTGGAAAGGGATCTCCCTGAAAAAGATGCCCAGAAGAATGGTCACTGCTGATGGTCCCCATTTGAAACAGGACACGTCTCATCTCATATTCACTGGATGGACTCCAAGCCTGGACCAACTCAAACACAAACTTTGAGAGCAGATACATGCAGCTCATGACACTCCCCAGACTCCATTCTCCTGGTGTTCACTTCCCCCCAATATTTGTGTATTTGTTCTAATATATTTCATGCCTAATGACCCTTATCATGGGCAGGTAGTCTCAAAGGCCTAATTGGAAATGTCTAGCAACAGAGGAAAGGACCAGAAAGAGGCCTTGCTAAGGGTAGTGAAATCCCTCCCTGCTAGTTTGACATTCAGAGTACCTAAGAGAAAACTTGAGATCTCCTGCTCCCCAAGAGTACAAACCCACCTTGGCTATCTTCTTCTTCCTCACCAACTCTATCCTAAAATAGTGAATTTCCTTAAACTCTTGGGCCTTGCTCTTAAGTAGGGAAATAAACTCCAGTAGAAGTCCAAACATTAACAACTCCCAATTATCTTATGCTTTCAAATTCCCAAAGTGCTTTTCTCCCAATAATCTCATAAAATAAAACATGTGAATGTGAGTATCCCCATTTTATAGATGAAGAAACTGGGGCTCAGACAGATATCAATTGCTCAAGCTGTCATAGCTAGTAAGACTCAGAATCAGGACTTGAACCCAAATCTCTGGAGTCCAGGTCCAGTGCTTTTTTTCTTTTTTTCACTATACCCACCCCTAGTATCAAAGGGGCAGGTATGTGGCACAGTGAATAGAGCACCAGCCCTGCAGTCAGAAAGACCTGAGTTCAAATGTGACCTCAGATACTACCTAAGTAACCCTGGGCAAGTCATTTAATATCGTTTCCCTCAGTTTCTTCATCTATAAAATGAACTGGAGAAGGAAATGGCAAACCACTCCAGTATCTTTGCCAAGAAAAGCCCAAATGGGGTCACAAGGAATAGAACATGAATGAAATGACTAAACAAATAAACAAAAACCCACCATAGTAACATATTATTTAGTACTCACTAGGTCCTCAAGAGATAATTTAGTCCAACCCCTAATTGTACAGATGAAGAAAATGAAAGCTAAGGAAGGGAAGTGACTTTCTAGCAAGTGGCAGAGCTAAGACTTCAATCTAGGTCTCCTATCTCCCAGGTCAAGAGTTACCTTCCCCACACATCTACCTGGTATCAACCACCCACATGTCTATAGCAATTTGTTATGAAGGTTTACAAAGTGCTTTTCCCAGATCCTGTTGTCCTAAAGGATGGGTGAAGCTGGGCACCCAACCAGGCTGGGGGGATGCTTTGCTTCCAAGGCACAGCAGCCCAGCATCCAATGTAAGCAGCCCCAGAGAGCACCCCACCCCCACCAGCCATGGCCACTAAGGGTTCCCCCCAGCCCCTTCTTCTTCCATCACCCTTCCTCTTTCCTCTTTTTAAAAGTCAGATAATGTAAATACTTCTTTAAGTAGCTTTTGGGGTATTTTTTTTAACTTTCTATTTTTATGGTAGGGCCACCCAGGCACCTAAGCTTGAGCTTAGCCCTCCTCCCCAGCCCCCTATATTTGTCAAAGCTAAAAATAATAACAATAACAATAATAACTCACATTTCCATAGCGCTTTAAGGTTTACAAAGCACCTTCTGCACAACAACCCAGTGAAGTAGTCAGTATAGACTTATAAGGATCCTGTTTTACAAATGAGGAAACTGAGGCTCTAAGGGATGAATTGTCTTGCCCAGGGTCACACTGCTAGTAAATGTTTGATCAGGGATGCTAAGACAGGTCTCTTCTGAGAACAAGTCCAGCGCTCTTTCCACACTACCACACACACTCTCTTTCTTGGGATTCTAGAGGTACTCTTCCTAATGCCTAAGACATTTGGGCTTCGTCTGGCTGCAGCCTTTGCTCTAAAAGCCAAGGCTGACCAGCCTCTTCCTAAAGGGGCCACTAAGACCACGGGACAGAATGTGCTACCCAGACTGCTCTTCCTCCTGCAACCACAGGGTGGCACTCTTTCTCCATGCTACTCCCTCCCAGTAATTTTTCTGTAAGGCAAGACAGTGGGTCTTTTAAAGGAACCCACCTCTCAAAGATACGGAAGCAGTTTAGTGTCTGGGTGGATATAGCTAAACTTCAGTAGCCTGGGCAGTTAAGAAGCCATAAGTCATGTGACAACATAGCACTGTTGCTTAGAATTACATACACTAATGCAAAAAGAAAATGGGGGCAGTCAAAAGGCATTAAGCTCCTACTATGTGCCAACCACTACGCTAAACACTGAAGACACAAAGAAAGGCAAACAGTCCCTGCTGTCAAGGAGCTCACAATCAAATGGGGACACCATGCAGATATCTATGTACAAGCAAAGTATATGAAAAACAATTTGTGCATGGGAATGATGTCCCAGGGAAGGCACTAGCATTCAGGGGGTAGTACCAGGAAAGCCTTGCAGAAGGTAGGATGTTAGCAGAGACTTGAAGGATGCCACATAAGCCAGGAAATAGAAATGAGAGAGAGAATTTGATATTAGGTCTTCACAAAATAATAGAATTCTATGTCTGAAAAGGACCTTCTTTCGAAATCACCCAGTACTTGGGATCATTTTGGACCTGAGATTTCATGGGTAATTCCTGGTGAGGAAATTCCTTCTGCTGATGCAGATCAGCAACAGCTCTGCAAACTGTGGACTTAGAAAGTTGCCTAGGGCCCTGAAAGGCTGGCCAAAAGGTGAAGCAAGCAGAAAAGTTAGGAAATGCTCAAGCTAGAATTCAGTCAAGTCTTCTGATTCTAGGGCTCATGCTCCATCCATCCTCCAACAAAGGGGAAATTATCAAGCCTTCCTTGAGAACACCAAGCAAGAAAATGTTTATCCAAATTGAGATGCTTTAGAAGTCCTCTTGTATCTCTTATTAACAGTTCTTCCACATATTATACAGAGTTCCAATGACAGGGCTAAAAATTTAAAGCAGAAAATGTCCCTCAAAGATCATCTACTCCATCCACACCAGCCCAGTTTTATGGCTGAAGAAACGGAGGTCTAAGTGAATTCCTCAAAATTACACAACTTGTTAAGGAGCCAGGGTTTGAAACCAAACCTATGATTCTTTCTACTGTGCCATGAAGCAGTGTGGCTTTATCCAATAAACCACCCTCTGTTCCAGAATATGGGCACCTTTCTAAAGCACAGTCCAATAGGGAAGAGTACAGATAGTCCCCAAAAGCTTTGTGTGTAGAGCATAAGTCTTCACAGCCCCTGCTATGAATATCATTCTGAAAAAACGAACAACTCCACCAACTTCCCCAAAATTCTTAATGTCATGAGAGGCTACTAGAGGCCCTAATTGGTAGTGTTATGTGATCTTAGAGTCATGAGATTTAGAACTATAAGAAATCTTAGAGATCATCTAGTTCAACATCTTCCCATCCCATTTCACAGAAGAAGAAACTGAGGCCCAAGAATGCGCTCACACAGCTAGTTAGAGGCAGATCCTCATGTCCTTTGACTCCAGTTTCTGGGTTTTTTCTGTTATGCTATGCTGGACCTACTTCTTTGAAAGTCTAACTTTGTTCATACTGACATAGAAAATGCTCATCAGATTTCCAGTTACTGATCAATCATGGAGGGCTTGAAGGGGAGTGGCAGTAGAGATAACCAGGTATATACACACAGAGATTTTTCAGATGGGGAAACTGAGGCCCAGGAAAGGGAGTGACTGACTCAAGGTCACTAAGTAGCAGAGCCAGGATTTGAATACCAAGACTTCTTACAGCAAGTCAGAAGCACCCTCACTTGCATCTCTTTTTTTCCTCTTCAAGTTGGTCTGAGATAAGTAGAGCTGGTATTATTATCCTGTTTGACAGATGAGGGCCTAGAGAGAGACACAATGGCTTATAAGAGGTCATGCAGTTAGTTGGTGACAGAGTGAAAATCTAGAACCCATGTCCAAGACAGCAGAATATATAGAGTGGTATTTTGAGGTGTTTTGTTTTGTTTTGTTTTTTGTTTGTTTGTTTTTCCAGAAGGACATTCACTGGGTTCTGTAGATTGACTGGAGGAGACATGGACTCTTCATACTCCTTAACTGATGTTCTGTCTTTACCAATTGTATATTTCCTCTTCCATATCCCTGGCAGCTTCAAGATTCAATGATTTTTCTGAAATTTCAACTGTAATAACTTGTTTTTAAAAAAAGAAAGAAAAAATCCTCTGTTATTTTCTTTGTGCTGTCATTTTATATAGTTACATACATGGAGCTAGAAAAATACCTATACATACTTTATAGATGCTTAGACATCCACTATAGATACCCCAACTCCACTATCAAAGCCAAATGACACCAGTTGTATGTCTGCCTCCTCATGAAAGAAGAAAGCTGGGAAAATTGTGATTATAATAATTTAAAAAACTTAAAAATCACTGATGAGTTTCTCCACCTTGAGTTCCAGAATGAATTACCCATGAACACACCATGAAAACACAATGAACTTGAATATGTAAATATTTTAAGCAGTTTAATTAAAATAAAGCCAACCAAAACTTTGTCTCTCTTTCTTTTTAAGTGGTACTAAGTCCTGTCTTTACTTTTGAATTTTAGAGTTAGACTACTAGAATTCTCTGGAGCTAGAAAGGCCCTTAGAAAATAGAATGTAAGAGCTGAAAGGGGCCTTCGAACATAGAACATAAGAGGCAGAAGAGACCTTAGAAATTGAATGTCACAGTTGAAAATGACCTCAGAATATGTATGGAATGTGAGAACTGGAAGGAGCTTTTAGAATATAGAAATGTATAGCTAAGAAGGGACCATAAAAAAAATAGGATGTTAGAGCTAAAAAGGACCTCACAACCTAGAATGGAAAGATCTCAGAATATAAATTGTCAGAGCTAAAACAAACGAACAAACAAACAACTTAGAACAACAGAGCTGGAAGAGACACAGTAAAACACAAGATGTTCAATCCCTCATTTTACAGAGTAGGAAACTGAGGTCCAGAGGAGTTAAAGCTAGTAAGTGATTGGTGCCTTGACTGCACCATTAGCAGCAGAAAATAACATTTTTTAAAAAAATAATTTAGCTTTTTAATTCTTTTACATAATGGATGGTTAACAATAACTTGACCTTTGACTTCACTGAGATAATGTGATTTCCAAGATCAAGTTACTTTAGTGCCCTGTAACCACCACCACCCCATACCCACTAACAACGTGAGAACTCCCTTCTTGAAGTGATTACTAGAGTATTTTTTTAAACTCTATCTTGGATAGAAACAAAGGCAGAGGCAAGTGCATCTCAAAGAGGCTGAAAGAATTTTCATGTTCTTCCCTCCCTTTGTCTGTGTCGAGGTTCAGTTGGGCACATTCTTCTCTTACAGGCCATCAATGGAAGAGATTTGTACAGGAAACTAACTCCCTACTGGATCTACTTCTCCTGTGTGGCAGGAGCACATGGTAGAGAATCTCAGAACTGGACTTTTTAATTCAATCAGTTCCCTTTTCTAAATGCTGAAAACTAAAGAGAAAAAAAAAAGACTTAACATGCTGTTCATTTAAAGTCTCTAATTTCTATTTTAGTTTCCCTAGTCTTTGCAGGGCTTCTGCCAAGGAATGGGGAAGGGCTAATTGGTTTGATAAGGAATTTCTCATCACTCTCATTTATCTCCTCACTGCCGTTCACCAAAGTCATCTTCCAGTGCTGGCTCCAATAATGATCTTTAAAGCAAAGGAGCTCAGAAAGTCCATTATTTTGACCCAAATACAATACCAGCAAGCTTCCCAATGGGCTTTTGATCTGATGGCAGTTGCCTTAGAACAAAGCAAAATATT